TGTTGCCTACGTTACTGATACACCTTTGAATTTCATGGTTAAACGTGGAATTATCAGTTTCCGTCGAATTTCACTCGTTCTCAGCCAGAGAAATATTTCTTACTTTACGAAAATTTACACGAACAAACAAACCCTAATTAATGCCATATTCATTTAGCTTTCAGAATTGCGCGCAACTGGAATCACCTAATTTTCGCATAAGAACAGTGTTATCTTAAAAAGAAAATAATAAGTTAATGCTTCGCGTTTAATACAGTTGCCTGTAGAAAAATTCTCGCTCTCGACTACATTCGGGGAACGAGTAACGGGTTATTCCCAAACCCGCTATTTACGCCCTCTTCAACTAGGAATAAACTCTGAAAGGACCAAAGTTTCTGCATGTGCGGTCTTCGTCTCAAAATCTGTCCCTCGACACTACATTTCAAAACAGTTCCGTTGTACGAAGCAAAAGCGGTCAGTCCATTAAATTGTTTGTTTTGATAAACTCTATGCTTCCTCCTTTCCGAGCTATTGCAGTATGGGTTTTCTTTTGAGCTTTGTTTAATTTAGGTATTGATCATCAAAAATTATATTCCCTGTCGTGTAAAGAAGGCATTACCTCAGTTAAATCAGTTTCTGAAAATAAGATTCATGAAGCTGAGGCCCTCTCCACCCTGCGACGGAAGAATTTGGAAATGTACCTTTTTTCCTCCTGTTAGGCCTACCGTCTGCACTAATCCGACGTCACGAAAACGGAGCTTTTCGAAAACGCTTTTCAAATCGGAGGCTTTGCTTGCCAGTGCATGTGCACGGCCGAAAACATCTTAAAAACGATGTAGGCACGATAATCATGCGATTTCACTGACCGAGTTTTCCTCAAACACAAATCCCAAATGACCTGTTAATGTTGCGTTTGCAAATTCCTCGAACGTAGTGTAGACGGAAAATATTTGTAGCATTTTCAGAGTGAAACCTTCGTTTTAAAATTCCTTCAGCGCACTGTGGACGGGGCCTAAGCAAGAGAATATGGCCTAAGCCAGTCAACGCGACCCATGTGTTTTTTTTTTCCCCTAGGTCTGATTTACTCATATTTACGATGACTGCAACACGGACAATTGCCATTTTACTTGTGATCACCATAGTGGCTGTGAACGCCAAACAACTGCCGCGTACACGCTCGAAANGGAGAATACCGCTGGCTCGTGGAACTTTTACGTTGATGGCGAACTTTGGGAAAATGGCGTTGGTTTGGAAACAGGACATGTGATCGACAACAACGGCATTTTCATTCTTGGCCAGGATCAAGACAGTTATGGGAGTGGCTTCGAACAGTCCCAGAGCTTTTTTGGCCAAATGTATGGTGTAAACATGTGGAATAGAGTTCTGACGAAGGAGGAGATTTCGCACATGTCGACAAATTGTTCTTATGGGGTGGGCAACTATCTGAGGTGGAGTGATTTCGTGACTGGCTTACATGGAGGTGTTACCGTGACATCTCCAGCTACCTGTTTGCCATGAGCTGAGTATGCACATGTTAGATGAAAAACTGACAACTTTTCACCATCCATGTTAAATTTGTATTTTGCTGCACAAAATCGTTTTGTAAAGATTTTAATGCCCACACACGGATTTTGCACATTCGTTTAAGAGCTATTGGTTATTGGAGTCTGGAGGCGAACAAGTTATGACAAATTATACTTCTATCTACTCAGCTTGTTTAGCTTTCTTACTGTTCTGAGTGGTTTAACTTAATTGTTTTTATGCTGTGTTTTTTTTCTTTTCTTGTAAATCTGGCGAAATAAAATGGTTGGTTGGTTGTTCTTGTTGTTATTGTGACTGTTTTTGACAACTTAAAAGAAAAATCGCCAAGAAAATTGTCAAAATTTGTTCAAATACCTGGCAGCGCTTCAGATATTTAGCTAGTATGTCATAAATTTTCTTATTTGGTCTTCAAATTATGCGCCCATATACAAACCGGTAATAAGTCATTTAATATACAATCCACGGCTAACAAACTATGTCAATGCAGCTACTTCGTTATGCGCTAACATTACACACAGGGCCGGATTTTAGCGGCCGGCTTGTGGCTGGAGTAATGCTTTTCTTGTTTTATGAAGTAAGCACAAAGTAATAATATTTATAGTAGAAATAAAGTCGTGTATGCATTTCATTTTCTTTGTGTCTTCTAATTTTGCTTGTAAGCTACTCGAGATACACCTGTAAGTCAAGGCCGACTAATTAACGTATTGTTGCTTACTCCTTTAGAATTTTATAAACGCTAGAACACAGGGATAGGTCTATGAGCCCCTAACCCACCTCCCCTAAAAGAAAAGAAAAAGAAAACTTAAAGGTCGTAGTTGATTGTTGTGAACATGGTTAAAGTGTACATGACAGGTATTTTGTTGTTTTTTTTTTTAATTTGCTTGATGAAATCTAAGTGAATGATATAATAATATGGAAATCGAAAGAAAAAATGGACATGTTTTTTTTTTTTTTTTGTCATTGCGTTTTGGGCATGAAATTTAACTTCCGGGTGAGTCAAAAACCACGAGGGGTTAGGACCTAGGGGACCAGTCTCTGACGTCAAAACAGGAACGTACGCCTACATATCTTTCGCAAACGATTAAAATTTTGAACCAAACTTGGAGTTAAGCCTCATAGTATAATTTAATTATTTTTTTCGTTTCTATTTGTTTGATTCGCAAAATATGTCAATGAAAACTAGAAATATAGAATAATCTTTGGCAACAACTAACCTTAGATCTATCCAAGTTTATCTAGGGGAGGTAGAAGCCAAGGTGACAAGAACGACACGAACAAATACACGGAAGAGGCGTTCGAGAATTAAGTGTTCCACATACGTGAGTTAACTTTGACCTGCTAAAACTAAGCTTCTAAATATTTGGCTCCACAAAGAAAGACGTCTGAGCTGACTTTCAGACCAAAAGGGATTCTGACCCACTTGTATGTTCCCCAAGGTGTATTGAAGGTTGTCAATATAGTGAGCTCCCAGAGTCCGGTTTCAACAGCCTATAGCCTGACTCGACTTCAACGACTGTGAAATACCTTAAGTCATAAAGTTCAGCAGTAACGTCGTAGTAGCACTGAGTAGTACTGTTTCCTTTTGATGCTCTTATTGAATTCTTTTGGATCGAGACAGAGTCGGATCGATGCATTTGTTTTTGCAATAGGTATATCCTATTGATCCAGTGTAAATGTTGCGCAATGCAACTGGTTCGATAATACCTAAACTCCATAGAGATGAATAGGTATTTTCCCAACAACCACAACGGTGCAAAAATTCATCAACCTTATCTCTGTGCATCTTAGTTGCACGTACAATTAATATTAAAGGTAAAGCCACATGAATTTAGGGTAGTTACATGTGCTTGCAGTTTGCCAAACATTTTTACATTTTGTCTGAACACTTCAATTTATGGAAACCATTGGGGTATCTTAAATTTAAAATATAAGTTAGCTGTTAACTGTAGTCGAGGTTTTAAAATTGCAAACGTTAGTAATCGATTAAAATATTCATTGTTTCTACCGCAATATTATAAAGGTTTAGATGAGGCGACCTTTGTTGTGACTATTGACATCCAATTCGGTATCATTGTTTGTCTTTCCCACAGTGATGAAACAAAGCTGTCAATCACAACCGATAGCGTCGCATCTGCAAAACGCGCATGGAAGAACACCGCTGGTTCATAGCACGTTTACGAGGGCGGCGCACACAGGCATAGTAATAATTTGAAGACGGGCCGCTTGATCGAAACTAACTGCATTTGCTTCATGGCCTATTTGGCACTCGGGGTAACAATATTCTGGTGAATAATTTACGAGCACAGTGTTTAAGTAAAAAAGAAAAAAAAAAGAAGCGGCAAAACATAATTCCAGTTGAAAGCGGAATATTTTAAAATCTACGACGTTCAGGGACATCTCCGCCCAATTCTTTACTGTTTTCCTTATGGTCATATTCTCCTAAGGTTTTACGTAAAATAAGGTAAAAAGTCCACATTTTGCCCATAATTAAGTACGTGCAGTCTTTCCAGCAAAAGCTGAGTAAATTGGCACCTCATTTACACTAAGCTAATGACATTGAGCAGCTGAGATGAATAAGTATTTTCCCAGCAACCACAACAGTGCAAAACATAATCATCAACCTAATCTCTTTGCATCTTAGTTGCACGTGCAATTAGTGTTAAAAGGAAAGCCACATGAATTTAGGGTAGTTACTTGCAGTTTGCCAGACATTTTTTTTTTATTGCTTCCTTTCATGGACACTTTTGGGGTATCATGACTTTAAAATATAATTCATTTGTTCGCTGTAGCTTTAAACTAGACCACGATGGCAATCGCTGTTACGTAATTCAAGACAGAAGCTGTTTTTTACGCTACACTCTTTATACTTTTATGAGAATATCCTTTTTTCTTACCGAGACTGAATGTTCCTATTTTTCTGCTGATTTTAGGCTGAAAATATTCAGTTGTGAACATTCTTATATTCGAGCGTATAAAATTTCTATTTTCGAAGGCATTTGGTGTCTGGATGGTATTAGAGCAATTTTGGAGCCAGCCTGCAGGCTTCAGAGCATCAAACATACGGTTAATGCTGTTTTCTGTTGCGTTTTGGCTAGTTTTACCGTTTAGAGAAGAAAGAATTTTATACGGTTTACTTAAAAACAGATAATTGTGTTGTATTTAAAAATTTTCAAGACACAAAAAATATATATTCTTAACAAAATTTCCGCATCTCTCGGGTTTAATCTTAAAATATTCTTAAAATTTCGCAAATGTAAGCCTCTATATTCTTTTAAAACATATTCTTATAAACGAGTGTAATGGTGTTCTATTGAAGTTTCACGTGAGGCTCAAAATTCGACTGCACACAGTCTTTCAAGCAAAAGCTGAGCAAATTGTCCTGATTTCATTTACGCTAAGCTGATGTAAATGATATTGAGCAGCTGAGAGGAATTTCGAAATTGCCCAACTTTTGAGAGCGCCCAGTGTTTGCAGTGTAAGCTGAGTAAATAGTCATGTCACACTGAGCTAATGACATCGTGCAGCCACAAATTGCAGAAAAACAAGAGGCAAAACATAATTAAGTTGTTAAGGAGTTGACCGTCAGAACGACGTTACTGAGCAACGAGCACGTCTTTCGTCAAGACAGAAGCAAAAACGGTGTCATTTTACCCAGGTTCTACGTGATTGTAAGGTAAGAGTCCAGAATTTGAGTGCACGAAGTTATTCACTGAGAGCTGAATAAAATCCATTCAGTGAGCGTCATTATATTTTCACCTTCCCAAATATATTGCACAGCTGAAACGAATGTGAATTTTCTTAACAGCCACTTTTGTTAAAAGGCTATCATCTTGATCTTGGCATTTTGTTTAGTTGCATGCGCAACCAGTGGTAAATTAATATGAATTAAGAGTAGTTACTGACAGTTTTCCAAACATTTTCATTTTTTCGTTTCTGTATTCTTGCGATGTCATGTTGTCACCGACAAACTAACAACATTTAATAATAATAGTAACGGTGGACTCTTTCGGTTCTACATTTTATCATTTAGGCAGTGAGGTTCGCACGTTATTCGATGCGAAGAAAATTAAATCTCGCAATTTATCTAAGATTTACAGTTCATTTATTTTACTGGAAAAACGAAAAAAAAGGATTCAAGGTCGTTATCGGAATAGAAGCGGTGAATCTTTTCACTGGGTACTGATATAGGATTTATAAATGTAATCGGTTGAAATGTAATACAACTGACCTTTCGCCGTAATCGATAATAACCATTGTAGAAGTATATTTTGAAATAATCTGGAGTATATTTGGGAATTTCCGTAGCTAAATTCCTTGGAAAGTTTAATCCAATTGTTGCGTCATACACGTTAGCACACTCTTTTGCTAAGTAACTATAACCTCTGATAAAAACTCCTGAAGTTATGGAAAACTAATTGTCTTCACGTCTCACCGTATTTCATTTATTGGAACCTTGTTACATCTGTAAAAGGTGTTTGAGTTTGGGAATGAAAGTGATTTTTTCCTAGCGATCTTTTGTCTGGAGCTCACGTTCGCTCACACCTTAAAACCGTAAGTTTCAAGTCGCAAGTCACAAGTTTCACTAGCCTCGATAAAAAATTGTTGTGTTGCCTACGTTACTGATACACCTTTGAATTTCATGGTTAAACGTGGAATTATCAGTTTCCGTCGAATTTCACTCGTTCTCAGCCAGAGAAATATTTCTTACTTTACGAAAATTTACACGAACAAACAAACCCTAATTAATGCCATATTCATTTAGCTTTCAGAATTGCGCGCAACTGGAATCACCTAATTTTCGCATAAGAACAGTGTTATCTTAAAAAGAAAATAATAAGTTAATGCTTCGCGTTTAATACAGTTGCCTGTAGAAAAATTCTCGCTCTCGACTACATTCGGGGAACGAGTAACGGGTTATTCCCAAACCCGCTATTTACGCCCTCTTCAACTAGGAATAAACTCTGAAAGGACCAAAGTTTCTGCATGTGCGGTCTTCGTCTCAAAATCTGTCCCTCGACACTACATTTCAAAACAGTTCCGTTGTACGAAGCAAAAGCGGTCAGTCCATTAAATTGTTTGTTTTGATAAACTCTATGCTTCCTCCTTTCCGAGCTATTGCAGTATGGGTTTTCTTTTGAGCTTTGTTTAATTTAGGTATTGATCATCAAAAATTATATTCCCTGTCGTGTAAAGAAGGCATTACCTCAGTTAAATCAGTTTCTGAAAATAAGATTCATGAAGCTGAGGCCCTCTCCACCCTGCGACGGAAGAATTTGGAAATGTACCTTTTTTCCTCCTGTTAGGCCTACCGTCTGCACTAATCCGACGTCACGAAAACGGAGCTTTTCGAAAACGCTTTTCAAATCGGAGGCTTTGCTTGCCAGTGCATGTGCACGGCCGAAAACATCTTAAAAACGATGTAGGCACGATAATCATGCGATTTCACTGACCGAGTTTTCCTCAAACACAAATCCCAAATGACCTGTTAATGTTGCGTTTGCAAATTCCTCGAACGTAGTGTAGACGGAAAATATTTGTAGCATTTTCAGAGTGAAACCTTCGTTTTAAAATTCCTTCAGCGCACTGTGGACGGGGCCTAAGCAAGAGAATATGGCCTAAGCCAGTCAACGCGACCCATGTGTTTTTTTTTTCCCCTAGGTCTGATTTACTCATATTTACGATGACTGCAACACGGACAATTGCCATTTTACTTGTGATCACCATAGTGGCTGTGAACGCCAAACAACTGCCGCGTACACGCTCGAAAAGGGACTTTGTTGAGATCCGAGGTAAAGCTTTGCTTGAGGGTATAGTGGGGACGTAGCGAGGGAGGGCTGCACCTAAGGTAAAGAGAGGTTAGGATGGCGCAAGGAGAAGATAGAGGGTATAGTGAGTGTTAACATGGAGGACAACAGTGGAAAGGGAGCTCAAGGAGAAAGAAATAAGAATCTGGGTAAAGAGAGCATCGGCCAGAGTAGACAGGAGAGCTCGGGGCAAAAAACCTCCGCCCGATTCTCCACTTGGAGAAGGAACAAGTGATAATAATGATAGTGTATGACGGAACTGTAATCATGAAAGAGTGAAGTTCTTTGTGTGGAAGTAATACTAACAATGGAACGATAATTGATTTCAAAAGTCGAATGCTGGACTAAGGGGAGGGAACCTTTTCTTCGATTCTAGGAATGAAGAGGTTCATAAAATAGAAAACATAAATATATGAACAGCTATAATACATTACATTTAGATGTAGTTTATCATACTTTTGATTTTTCTTTTTTAATAATTTTTAGGGCCCATCCTTCATGGACATGTAATCTCGACCCACAGCGTGGATTCGCTGGCAGAATGCGACGAAATATGCGTAAATCATCCAAGATGCTTATCTTACAATTATCAATTTGCTACAAGAGCGCCAACACACTCTTGTGAGATCAACGACGCTACCGGCACCATGTGTCCTCAAGACATGTTTAACACAAGAGGATATAGATACTACGAGGACCAGGTGAATGAACTAACAAGTTACTGTATAGCAAAATTGTTGAAAACCCTTCAAAAGAAATGGTAGCGGTTTCAACCCAAAGCTTGCAGCACATGCGCACAGCGAGCTATGGAAGGGTCAGCCCCATCATCCCTTGCTTTGTCGAATGTTTTGTTATTACTCTCGCTCCAATTTGTCCGCGGCAAGAATGCGGAAAAAGTTCTTCGTATACGGGAACATTTGGTACGCAGGTTTTGGAAGGGTGTGAAAATTTACTGGAGTTCAGTTCAGATGAACATAATGAAACTACTTGACTCAGTAATACATGAAGCCAAATACCCAATTTTCGTTAAATTACCTTTTTAAGCGAATCAGTCTTATAATCAGAGCCATGAGTTCTACTTTCCAAAACTAAGAAATGGTGCTGATCTGGTAAAATCCTTAATCTGATGGAATCAATCTGAATCGTTCGTAGTCATAACTAGTAAAAAGGACTCCAGCATTGCTTTCGAGCATGGTCGTATACAAGAACACAAAGTATCACCTTAGAGGTAGCAAGATCGTAACTTCGCGATTTTGTTCGTACTATATGAAAAATTCGATAAGCAACCTGGGTGCTGCACTTTGGAAAACTGCATCCAGGTGCTATGCTGATAATTTTAAGCAATTCTATGCCAAAGTTAGAAAAGACGTAGTTATTAAACAATTGGACTTTAATGCGACCTCGATTCAAACGCAAAGCAAGAACGTGACGGATTTTAAGTTTTATCAGAATTATGTAACTGTTTTATTAGAATTATAAATTATGAGAATTGTAGCAGTGTAGAATTGTAGAATTATCATATTATTACTGTTCTTTTCTCTGTTTTTCTTAAACTTTTAGCTAGATACACGACCCCACAAGGAAACCTATTTTTTAAATTAAAGGATTGTTGTTAATCGGCTGTTGCTGTTACTCTATCAAGGTTGTCGGTTCCCAATATCGCGTTCCCGATTTCGTGTAATTAGCTCTTTTTTCTAACACCCAAAGCCCTTTTTATGTTGGACTTGGTCAACATTCCTGATCAGCTTTGCATTCTTGAAACATAAACACTATTTGACAACTGAAACTGATATTTTTTTCATATCTAGAATATAACATGCGCCAGGCAATGTCCCACGCGAGGTTGGTTTAATTTTTTTTGGTGGTCGTTCCATTTCTTTCTTTTCTTTTTTTTTTTTTTTTGTGTTAACTGAACTGAAAATCATCTCATTGATGAGTGTGAATTAGTATCTCGGCAACTGGTGCTTGCGGTCTTTCAACTCTTTACTCGAGACACCTCCCGTGTCTATGCATCTTCGCAACTTGTGTTGTTGTTGATTTCTAGTTTTCTTGTCTGTTGTTTGTTTGTATGTTTGTTTGATTGTTCATCTGTTTCCTTTGTTTATTACTGCGTGTAATTGACTTGAATTGATCTTCGACGCGCAGATATCTCAAGACGGACTTTTTAATTTATATATTTAGTATAAATAATTCTGCTGACTGTTTGCAGATGCCAGTACCGACTTCGAATTTACTTACCCAAACAAAGTTATTACCGACTACGTCAGATTTGATCTGTTGGAGTGTGCGCCACCGCTGACCGCTTTCACTGTCTGCCTCTGGATGAGAACCGATGACCAATCAGACGACGGCACAATCTTTAGTTACTCAACTCCAGACCAAGACAATGACATTTTAGTGACGGACTACTCAAATTTGAAGATCCTTATTGGGGGTTCCAGGATGTAAATATCGTCATTTCATTAATAGTATAAAATACATTGCATAATATTATCAACATAAAATGCGATAAGGAATAAGAGAGAAATAAGTTGGAAAGAACTGGTGCGCACCGCCGAAGAGCATGGTCCGGATTGAATGTAATATATCAAACACGAAAGACCGTGTTTGACCACTTTTCCAAACACCGAGAAGAGATTTGAAAACACGACGCGTAGCGGAGTATTTTTGACGAACTTCGAGGTGTTTGGAAATGCGGTCAAACACTGTCTTAAGTGTTTGATATATCTTCACAACTGAAATTAAAACTAAGGAGAAAACGGAGAAATAAAATCGTTAATATCTATGCTAATTAAGATGATCCAAATATCGGCACGGTCATGATTTCCTTTGTTTAAACGTCTTGAATAATTAATGAGTTTGAGAAGTAATATTCATTTTGCCCCCTTACTTGAAAACCACTGAGCTTCGTTGTTTACTCTATTGGTGTCGCAACACTAAGTTCTTTCTCATAGTGACAAATCTCTCCTTACCACTGCGTCTTATTTTATAATCATCTTAAGTTAATTACCACGAAATATTTAAAAATATGTAAGATCTTCCATTATAACTTAATGATTATTGAGTTTTGAAGAAGAAAAACACAAGAACAATAGACCAATTTCGATACATTAAAATTCAGCCTAAAACAATAGACCACAGCTCGAGGTTCTGGGGAAAAACTACAGAGTATGTGGGGTTTATTCCCCAGAGCCTGGTGCTGAGGTCTATTGTGTTAGGCTGATTTTTAATATATCGAAATTGCTCTATTAACGCTAAAACATATTATTCAGGGCAACTTAAGCAGCTGCAGCTGCGCTGCCGTGTTGAGAGTAATTTAAGCGGCTGCGAATTAAAGAAATGCTTAAAACATTGAAATATGCCGCAATTTCAAGCTTGGCATGATTGCAATATCAATAAGAAATTCTCTAAGCTCGCCTAGGGGGAAGAGACTACAGAATGCACACTACGGGTATAGTTTTGTCGTTTTGTTTGCATTACTGATTTTTGGACTTTTCTTTCTAAAATGGAAATATCTTCTTTTGATATTTATTGGCCCATAAAACATAAAGTGCAAAAACTTAAAGTGCAAGCAACTAACATTTAGTAGGGAGAGGAGACGACGAAGACTGATTTTAAAAAGGAAAAAAATATTCAACTACTGAGAAGTTTTCACGCCGTTACACCAAATTCTCCAGCATAAAATATAATGCGTGGCAGTCAAGAAGGGGATTAATTTTATGTAATATATAATAACATTAATTCGCCGGAGTTAATGCTATAGAGCTTTGTTGATTTAATTTTTCTTACTCAGAACATTTTACACAACCACCAACGATGGAGGGTGGCATCACATATGCACAACATGGGAAAACACCGCTGGCGCGTGGGAGTTTTACATTGACGGCCAGCTTTTTGACAGTGGTGATGGTCTTTCGACAGGACGTGAGATCGGAAGCGATAGCATTTTAATCCTTGGTCAGGATCAAGATGACTATGGGGATGGTTTTGAGCAGGAGCAGAGCTTCAATGGCGAGATTTATAATGTAAACATGTGGAACAGTGTTCTGCCGGCTGACGAAATTTTGCATATGTCGACTGATTGTGCTGATGGTGTTGGCAACTATCTGAGGTGGAAAGATTTCGTGGATGCAAATGTCTATGGCGATGTGACCAAAACGTCTCCCGTCAGTTGTGTGCCCTGAACTGAGCATGCGCCGTTGCTGCTTGACGTTGAGTTTTGAACTGAACATTAAATAAACCATTCCAATAAGGGTATAGTTAGTAGGGATTGTTTTAAAAGGGTGTAATTTTGCTGTTATGAGGGTTCTGTTATATAAATGAGTTCTATCACGTTCAAAATATTAAACGAGGAAGCATAACCAATTACTACAAATCTAGATACCACTCATAACAAGGTGTTAAGACCTTGAATATTCTGGCATTCAGTGTTTTTTTTTTTTTTT